GGTAGCACTGGAAGACTTCTGGGGATCCCAGCCCTCCGTCCTGCTTTGCTCTAGCCAGTAATTTCATCTTTACTCTTGGTTTCTTATCACTCCAGGTAAATTTAACATAGGACCTATGCAGTAATGACAGCCAGTTTTCTGGGCAGTTGATTGGAATCATTCTCCAGATATATAGCCACTTTGGTAGGACATATGATTTTAATATGTTAATCCTTCCTGACCATGAGAATCCCAAATTTTTCCAGTCTTTCAATTTTTTGCTTGTGTATTTCAGCAATGGAAGGAAGTTGGCTTCTACCATGTCTTTTAATAGTGGGGTTATGATAATGCCCAGGTACTTCAACTTGTCCGTATTTCCAGCTAGACCATTATTTTGTTCGAGATCATTAGTCAGTCTTTTATTCATATTTTCACTATGAATGTTGATTTTTCCAGATTTATCTTATAGCCAGAAATTTTAGAATAGCTGTTTATATCTTTAAGTAGTTCTGGTACTGACCTAATTGGATCTTCAAGTGTTAGCAGGATGTCATCTGCATAGATACTGACTTTGGTCTGTCCTGTAGTATTTGTAAATCCCTTCATTTTATTGTTTTGTCCGATTAGGATGGTGAGGGGCTCTAATACCATTATGTATAATAAAGGCGAGAGGGGACATCTCTGTCTGGTTCCATTTTTTATACTAAAGGAATGCAATGTGAATCCTGACCCTGTGACCTTAGCATATAAAGCCGATATTGCTTTAAAGATTGGTCCGGTTATTCCAAAATGGTTTAAAGCGGAGAACATGAAGCCCCATCCAACCCTATCAAACGCTTTCTCTGCGTCTAATGACAACAGGATTAGAGGGTCTCCACTGCTCTCCGCTTCCTCCACTATGTTGATTATTCTTCTAAGACTATTCACCGGGAATCTCCCCGAGACAAAACCAACTTGATCATCATTAATGAGATGAGGTATCACGGGCTTCAGTCTTCAGCTATGATGGAAGATAGTAGTTTAATATCGGTATTAATCAATGATATAGGTCTGTAGTTGCTTACCAGCTCCAGGTTTTTATCAGCTTTTGGAATGGGAACAATATTTGCCATTAGCAGCTCCTCTGGGCACTCTCCTGTTTCCATTATATGGTTGAAGACAATGGTTAGTTCTCCTTTAAGATAGTTCTTCATTGATTTGTAAAATCTGTTTGTGAAGCCATCTGGGCCTGGAGCCGTCTTTATTTTAAGTTTATTGATTGCTTTTTCTACCTCCTCCTCTGTGATTGACTGGTTTAGATGCCCTAGTTGATCCAGTTGGAATGGGCAGATCCATAAGGAATCTCTCAATCTCGTTTGGGTCCCCAAATGTCTCTTTTGGTAGACTGTACCCGTCTTGGTAGAATCTTTCGAATGCTTCACCAATTTTCTCTGGAGCCATTACATAAGTGTCCTTCTCTTTTATTTTATAAATTACACGCTTACTTCTTTCCTTCTTCAGCCTGTTGGTCATCTTGGATTCTGGTTTGTTCCCTTTTAGGTACCATTTAACTTGGAGAGCTTCTAGTTGTTTCGATGCTTTATCTACTAATTGTTCATTAATCTGATTTTCTATTTCTTCAATCTCACAAGCACCTTGTGTAGACGGGATTTTTTTTTTCCTTTTATGTTCATTTAATGTAATATATAGCCTTGATAAAGGTAGTAATCCTTTTTTATTTACAATTGATGTCATCTTAATTAAGTGACCTCTTATTACACTTTTGTATGTGCACCAAACTGTAATCTCTGGTGCCTTTATCTTTGTTTTCTTCAAAGAAACCTTTTGTTATCTTTTCTAATTCTTACAAGTTGCTTTTCTTGTGTAATAAGAAATCTTTCATCCGCCACTCTTTGCGAAAATTATCAAAACTATCTTTGTAGTCTATAATGATGGGGCTGTGGTCCGACCACGTTATATCCCACCATGTAGTCTATTCTAGAATATGAATTGTATGTTTTCGAGTAACATGTGTAGTCCGAATCTGTGGGATGAAATGTTTTCCACATGTCTCTTAAGTTATATTTATTAAATAGATTTTGCAATTTATTCTCATTTTTATTTTTGTTGATTTTCTGACTTTTTCTATCTTTCAATGAATCCGCTATGCAGTTGAAGTCTCCCATTATTAGTACCAAACCTTGTCGAATCTGGTCTAGCTTCTTAAAAATTTTGGAAATAAATTTAGTTGGTGCTTTATTAGGTGCATATATATTAACCAATGTAAATAACTTATTGTTGATTTCGCATAGCATGACAATAAAACACCCTTCTGGGTCTAAGTCTTGGAATTTAATAGTTAAAGAAATATTACTTGCAAACATAAATGCCACTCTTTTTTTTTTTTTCTAGTGCAGCACTTATGATTGTGGGATATCTTGAGGAGTTTATTGTCTTTTCTGTAGATTTTATACAGTGGGTTTCTTGGATAGCGCATATTTGTACCTGATAATTTATCAAGTAGTCTAAAATTATTGATCTTTTGCTTGGTGTACTTATTCCCCGGGCATTTATCGAGATGAACTTAATTTATTATAAACTTTTATTTTTTGAGGCTCTCTCTCTGTTAGATTTGACTGACATATATTTAAACCAAGAAACGTTTTTCTTTTTTTGTTAACAAACAAATAAGACGGGTTGATCCAATATATTGAAAAAGATGTATAAGGGCTGCGCCAAAAGGAGGAGAACAGTCCAGTAAAATATCGCTAGGTTACCAGTGGATAGTCTGGGATACTTGATAGGGTTTCTTGGTGGAGGTAGGTGCGTCTGGTGTTGAAAATACAAGAGAGGTAGAGGCGACCAATGGTGCAGTATGTAAAATTCAAGGTGCAGTTAATAACAAAAGTAGAGAACTCACATTCGGGAGAGCTATGGCCAGCTCTGGTGTGAATCGCTTACAGCAGTATAATCCCCGCTTATGCAGGGCCGGCGCTACCTGTTAGGCGGACTAGGCAGCCGCCTAGGGCGCCCCTTGGGAAGGGTCGCCACCAGGAGTGCCGGTCCCCCTCCTGCTGCAGCCGCCCGAGCGCTCTGTAGAGAGCCTCAGGCGGCTGCAGCTTTGCCCAGGCTGGTGCGTCCATGAGGGCGCACCGCCCGGGCGCAGCATGAGGAGAGGGGCTGACAGGAGGGAAGCGCTCAGCACTCAGCGCTCCCTCCTGTCACTCCCTCACTGTAGCGTGGCCGAGCCCTGTATGGTGCGCGGGTACAGGGAACATCTGTGTGCACTTCCTGTTAATCCGGCCGGGTACAGGAAACAAAAGCTCCCTGTACCCGCGGATCATACAGAGCTCGGCCATGCTACAACAGAGGTAGAGGGAGGGGGGGATAAAGAAATTGGAAGGGGGGAGAAGAAAATTGGAGAAGTGGGGAGAAGGGAAATTGAGGGGGGGAGAAGGAAACTGGAGAGGGGGGGAGAAGGAAAACGGAGAGGGGAGAAGGAAATTGAGAGGGGGAGAAGAAGGAAATTGAGAGGGGGGAGAAGGAAACTGGAGAGGGGGGGAGAAGGAAATTGGAGAGGGGGGGAGAAGAAGGAAGCTGGAGAGAGGGAGAAGGAAAATGGAGGGGGGGAGAAGGAAATTGGAGGGTGGGGAGAAGAAGGAAACTGGAGAGGGGGGAGAAGGAAATTGGAGGGGGGGAGAAGAAGGAAATTGGAGAGGGAGAGAAGGTAATTGGAGAGGAGGGGGAGAAGGAACTTGGAGGGTGGGAGGAAATTGACGGGGGGGATTTACATCCATCACACACACACAATCACACACAATGCACCCCTTGCACACAGAAAAACACACAATGCATTACACACACAGACACACATACACAAGCAGTGCATCCCTAACACACACAGAAACACACAATGCATTAATTACACACACTCAATGCACCCCTTACACACACTCAATACATCCCTTACAGACGCACACACTGCATCCCATGCATACACAAACACACCTCGCAGCCCTTACACATACAAACACAGATTCACACAATGCATTCCTTACACACATCAGGACATCCCATACACACTCCACCCCCTGTGAACAAACTCATTGGTGGAACATGAAGGTGGACCCTGGGACCCAGACCTTGAGCTGTGTAAAGGGCCCCCAAAAAATTGAGCTTCTTCCCGTTCTCCCAGAACATTGATTTTTGTGACCAAAGTTACAAACCGCCTCCAGAGAGCCTATTCTACACCAGACCAGTGGAGCCAGACTGCAGCTAGAGCCCATCATCATCCTCATCTGGTTGTAAATAGGCAATCTAGTATATTATTCGTGGCACTAATCTCTAATTTACATCACATTAAAGAAACACTATAGTCCCCAGAACCACTGCAGCTTAATGTAGTGGTTCTGGTGTCTATAGCCTGTCCCTGCAGGCCTTTTAATGTAAACACGGCGGCACTGCAGCACTGGCGTTAGTTAACATGGCAGATCATATGGGTGGGGCATTGTGATGTCACATGGGGGGCGGCAAACTTAAAAAGTCCTTGCGCCGGCCCTGCACTTATGGGATATGTAGGGAAGGGGTCTCAGTCAACACCGTCTGGTAGTCCAAAACTCGGAAAAGAAAATAGAAAGCAACAATAGTGCTCTCAATTGTGATGGGGTTCAGTGTGCAATAGGTAGAAAAAGGTAGAGAACTCACATTTGAAGGAGCTATGGCCAGCTCTGGTGTGGATAGTGTACAGCGGTATAATCCCTGCTTATGGGATATGTAAAGGCAGTACGTCCGTCAGCACCGTCTGGTAATCCAAAGATCCAAGAGAGAAGGATAAAAAGCAACAATAGTGCTCTCAATTGTGATGTGATAAGAGAGTAAAATAAAAGATAAAATAATACTCACAAAGATAGAGCAGAGGTACTGCTCTATGAATAGGCGTTGGTGGTATGATCCCCACCTGGGATTTCTTGGAGTACTGGAACAGTAAAATTGCCAGTGGAAGTAAAAGTAACCAGGAACGTTTAAAATACCAGGAATAAGTAAAAAAGTTTAAAGTGCATAGAGAGTGCAATAAAAAGAGGATTGGTACGGTAAGGTAGCCCAAAAACTTTTATTGTTCTAAAATACACAGTACAAGAGTAAATAACCATAAACGCGTTTCACCATAAGTGGCTTCTTCAGAATGGAATAAAAGTTTTTTGGCTACCTTACCGTACCAATCCTCTTTTTATTGCACTCTCTATGCACTTTAAACTTTTTTACTTATTCCTGGCATTTTAAACGTTCCTGGTTACTTTTGCGACCAGGCCTCTTTTTACACTTTTGTGGTGTTTGTGTTTAGCTGTAATTTTCCGCTCTCTCATTTACTCTTCCCATACAAGTTATATATTGTTTTTTTCAGGACAAAAAGGGCTTTCTTTACATACCATTATTTATATAATCTCATGTAATTTAATTTAAAAAAAATAAAAAAAATATGATGAAAAATTGAAAAAATACATGTTTTTTTAATTTTACTTGAAAAATCTTTTACTCTTCTACAAAAGCGAATGAAAAAAACTGCTAAATAGATTAAAAATGTTGTCCTGAGTTTAAAAATATCCAGTGTTTACATGCTTTTTTGCTTTTTTTTGCAAGTTATAGGGCAATAGGTACAAGTAGGATATTGCGGTTTCAAAACATACATTTTTAAAATTTATCAATAGTGACATTGTAACACTATTATCTGTCATAAATCTCTGAATAACATCCCACATGTACATATTTTTTTTTTAAAGTAGACAACCCAGGGTATTCAATATGGAGGATGTCCAGTTTTTTTTAGTAGCCACTTAGTCGAAAACACTGGCCAAAGTTAGCGTTCATATTAGTTTTTGTGTGAAAAAAGTAAAAAACTAAATTGAACGCTAATTTTGACCAGTGTTTGTGACTAAGTGGCTTCTAAAAAAGAGTGGACATACACCATTTGCAATACTTTGGGTTGTCTTCTTTTGCAAATGGTATGCCATCATGGGGTTAAATCTCATTCCTGGGCTACCATACGCTCTCAAAGGCAACGTAACCAACCTGGCCATTTTCAATGTATAAATATTTGACCCATATATCTGACTCTGTAACTTTCAAAAACGCTTTAAAACCTGTATGGGGAGTACTGTTATACTCGGGAGACTTTGCTGAACACAATTATTATTAGTGTTTCAAAACAGGAAAACATATCACAACAATTATATCAGCATTAAAAGTGCTGTTTGTGTGTGAAAAATGCAAACAAAAGTCACTTTCACTGACAATATCATCGCTGTGATATGTTTTACTGTTTTGAATATTTGTGTTCAGCAAAGTCCCCCGAGTAAAACAGTACCCCCATGTACAGGTTTTAGGGTGTCATAGAAAGTTACAGGGTAAAATATAGTGCTAGCAAATTAAATTCTCTGGACTTTTGGCCTGGGTTGGCAGGCAGGTCCCTCAAATTGCAATCAATAAAATTACTTAATTATGTAAAAATATTACATAAATACGCACGTAGAATTTAAATATATATGCATATTTATATATTTGAAGTCTACGTGTATATTTATATAATTATTTATGTAATTTTGTATATGGACATATGTATATTTCGTATTATTTTTATTTATTTATAAACACATAGTTATATATACAATTTAATTCTAAGTGTATTTTGATATAAATATATATATATTACTATCAAAATACAGTTAGAATACAATCTCATGTAGATATATATTTTTTTTTTTTTATTATTATTTTTAAGAAATTTTTTATTTAATTTAAATTACTTATTATTTGTATTTTATAATAATATATAGTTATTATATATATTATATATATACATGTGTAATTTAATTATAAGTGTATTTTTATATTAATATATGTACATATTAATATAAAAATACACTTAGTATGACATTATATATATGATATATATACACAAATATAATAATATTTTTTATTTATTAACATTAACCTTTATTTATTTTATGATTTTACACTAGCAGGGAGACTGCTTGTCAGCACAGACAGTCCCCCTGCAGTGCAGACACTTGGACACCTATTGTGACCATGTGACCGCTCTGTTGAGGGATCACATGACCCCAGGGGTCCTAATCTGCCATGGGGAGACTGTCTGGGCTTCAGGCAGTCTCCCCACACCAGGAGCACCGCCGATCGCCACCAGGGGAACGACGGCGATCGGGTAAGTACATCTGACCGTTAGGACGGTTCAGAACCGTCAGCGGTCAGCAACGCAAAAATGCCGATGACGGTCCTAAACTGTCCTCGGTCCTGAAGGGGTTAAACATCTGTATGGACTCTGATAAAACCACTTCTTCAGGAAGAGAATTCCACATCCTTATTGTTCTTACAGTAAAAAAAAACCTTTCCTTTGCCTTAGACTAAACCTTTTTTCTTTCAATATAAACACATGACCTCATGTCTTATGTAAAGTCCTGTTTGTGAATAGATTTCCACACAATGGTTTGTATTGGCCACGAATATATTTGTGTAATGTTATCCCCTCTGAGGTGACATTTTTCTAAACTAAAAAGGTTAAAATTTGTTAACCTTTCATCATAGCTAAAATGTTCCATTCTTTTTATTAATTTTGTAGCCCACATCTGCACTCTTTCTAGTGCCATACTATCCTTCTTTAGAACAGGTGCCCAAAATTGCACAGCATATTCAAGATGTGGACTTACCAGCGATTTATAAAGAGGCAAAATGATATTCTGGTCCCGAGAATTAATGCCATTTTTCATGCGTGACAATACCTAGCCACAGCTGATTGACATTGCACATTGATGCATAGTTTGATGTCTATAACAGCGGTTCCCAAACTGTGTGCCGGGGCACCATGGGGTGCTGCAACGGGCACACAGGACGCTACAAGATATTTTCCCGGTGCTATGATGATAGCACTAGGAACCGTGCCTCCCTCTCCCCTGCCGGCTCTGCAGGACCGGAGGGGAGATCAAAGATCTCCCTCTTCAGCGTGCTAGGAGTGTAATGCTGGGAGCCGGAAGGGGAGGTAGAGATGGCCCGGGAGAGCTCTAACCTGCAGCTCCACCGGGTTCTCCTCTTGCGAGCTTGGAGCGTTGCTGCGGTTACCACAACAACATACCAAATCTCGCAAGAGTGAACTCTAGCAGCTCCTGAGGCTACTGGAGTTCACTCTCACCACTTGGACCACCAGGGCTTCTCAACTGTACCACCAGGGATTGCCTTGTACTGTCCCTCCTCTCAGGCAAGGGTAAGCGATGGAGGTGCAGGGGGGGATATCAAAATAACTTTTTCCTTTTTTTAAAAATAAAATAAAAGTAGATATTTATCTGCCCTCCTAACCCCCAGACCCATAACAACTCCCCCTATACACACAATTACCTCTCCATACACACTGCTTCACATTCACCACTGTACTCCCCATACACACACAGTGCCCCTCCATACACACAAACAGTACTCCTCACACACACTGCCCCTACACACAACCTGCTCCCCACACACTGTACCCCTCACACACTATACTCCTCATACAACCTGCCACACAAACACACTGTACCCCTTACGCACAAACTGCCCAACATACACACACACACACTGCACCCCTCACACATACATACTGCATCCTTCACAAACACAATGCAACCCCGTATACTCACTGCACCCCACACACATGCGCGCACACACACACACACACACACTGCACCCCTCACACACACATATTGCACCCCTCACACACTACTGTCCCTTTCTCCTATTACAGCCCCTATCTTGGTAGATCCCAGGTAAGTTGTCAAACTGTACTTAAACAGTTTGACTACTTACTCTGGGAGGGCACTACTGGCACCATAACCACTACAAAGTTTTGTATTGGTTATTGTGCCAGGATTGTTTCTTTAAATAATCTTCCAGTGCCCCTCGCAAGATTAAGTTCTGAATCTGCATTTGAACAGCAAGCATTTCTGCCGAACAGGGGCCCAGTATATGCCGCTGCGCTGTACATATATACAACCTAGGAAATTTTTTACCTTTGGGCGCCTTGGAAAAATATATTGAAATATTAAGGGTACCTTGAATCTAGAAAGTTTGGGAACCAATGGTCTACAACAATTCCCAAGTCCTGATTGGGAATTGTTAGATTGCCCCACGACTATGCATTCTAACAGAAAAAAATAGGTATTTATAACGAACCCTGAAGTGGGTTTGTATGATTTGAGCCGAACGGCCGAAAGCCAGAGTGATTATTGCTCACCGTTCAGTTCTTCTGGTCGGTAGTTAAAGTCCAAAGAAACGAAATCCGCTAGTACAGCTTTCCCCAAGTAGTAATCAGGTACCCAAACACCAGCTGAAACATGATGAAGGGTATAACAAGACTGATGTTTATTGAGACCACACAGCCTTTTATGGAGGTCCCCTTGCAGGAGTACCTCCCACAGAACACAAACCAAATAGCCAATCATAAGGTACAGTTACACTTAAATACACTCTCTGTCTCCGGGTGTGAGATAATGAGATAAGTTAAGGAATAACCCAATTATCTCAGGGCAAGTGCACACATTTCCTCCAAAACTCAAAACACCCCTTTATGCTTAAAGGACCACTATAGTGCCAGGAAAACATACTCGTTTTCCTGGCACTATAGTGCCCTGAGGGTGCCCCCACCCTCAGGGACCCCCTCCCGCCCGGCTCTGGAAGGGGGAAAGGGATAAAAACTTACCTTTTTCCAGCGCTGGGCGGAGAGCTCTCCTCCTTCTCTCCTCCTCCGTTCCTCCTCCTGGGTTGAATGCGCACGCGCGGCAAGAGCTGCGCGCGCATTCAGCCCGTCGCATAGGAAAGCATTTACAATGCTTTCCTATGGACGCTTGCGTGCTCTCACTGTGAAAATCACAGTGAGAAGCACGCAAGCGCCTCTAGTGGCTGTCAATGAAACAGCTACTAGAGGATTAGGGGGAAGGCTTAACCCATTCATAAACATAGCAGTTTCTCTGAAACTGCTATGTTTATAAAAAAAATGGGTTAACCCTAGAAGGACCTGGCACCCAGACCACTTCATTAAGCTGAAGTGGTCTGGGTGCCTAGAGTGGTCCTTTAAGGTATCCCCACAAATGTCACATCCCCTGATAGCCCCGATCTGGGGAAACAACATATTCCAATTTCACCCAGATCGGTTCAGGGGTTTTTAAAAAGTGTGGAAGTCTTAAGTTACCGACCGCACACAAAGCTCTTGCCCAAAATAGTT